GATATGCTTTGAGGTCACCCAAATCAAGACAACTAAGCATTTTTTAACAACCTACTGCCTCATGCTTTAGGAACTCTTTTTTTTTTTTCTGAAAGAATTATTTATTTAATTATATTTATCATTATTATTATTATTATTTTCAATTTAACCAGAGAGATCCAGAGAGAGAAAGAAAATGAAAAACCAAGCCTCCAGATCTGGGACCTGAATTGTGGATGGCCATGTGAGAGTACGGTGCCCTAACCATCATGCCACCTGCTGGCCTCAACTTCAGGAATTCTTACATGTTTATAAATTACTAAAGCCCACTTGCTAAAGTCCACCAGGATATATCTGTTATTAAACAGAGTTAGATTTATTAACTCGTATAGCTAAGGAGAACATGTCAAGGGAACCACTAAGAATTTCATAAGGAGAGCGTTAAGGACATGTCTTTAAAGACTATGGGGATCAGGGATTAGTCACAAAATGGCTTTGGCAGGGATCATTCAAGAGTCAACTTTAGAACACATGAGTTCATACAGGCTAACTATTAGATCAATCTGTCATTGATCTTAAAATATTGGATGTTGGAAAAATGCATCATGACTTTTCCAATGACCCAATACATGGTTTGAATGAACTGATGTTAAACATTTCAAACTTGGATGGATTGTGATGGTTTTCATAGACAGAGCTGACACAGTCAATCTGTTTTGCATGCTGCATTTTTTTATGGTATCTCTTTCAATGATCAGTTCTTCCTTTGCAGCTCCATTGCTCATAGGGATGGTTTTTTCCCTTATTTCAACTATTAGGTTAGAATTTGTCAGAATCCTTTAGAGAAACAGAATTAGTAGTTCAGAAAGAGAAAGAGGGAGAGAGATTTAAGAGATATTCATGTTAAAGAATTGGCTCATGTGATTATGGGAGGTGAAGTCAGAAGCTGGGCTAGTAGACTGGAGATCCAGGAAGCCGCTGACATTGTAATTTAAGCCCAAAATCTACATCTGTGGGCAGAATTCCTTCTTGCTCAGGGAAGGTCAGTCTATTCTATGCAGGTCCTCAACTAATTGGAAGAGACCTACCCATCTTGTGAAGGACAATCTGCTTTACTCAAAATCCACCTATTTGAATGTTCATTTCATCCAAAAAAAACTCCCTCACAGAAACAACCAGAAAAAGATCTGATTAACTATCTGGGCACGACAGCCCAGCCAGGTTGATACATAATAATAACCCTCACAAGGTTATATAATGATTCTCATAGTCACCATTTTATTATTCTAGCCTGAAAAATCTTGCTAAATTATGATCTCATAGCACAGAGGGATCTTCAAAGTATACTTGAAATATTTTTTCCTATTCATGTATTTTTGCCCAGGAAATGAAACCTATAGTAAAGTTATAGGTAGAAAAAAAGGAGCTGAGGAAGCATGTGACTTATTTGAATAAGCACAGTGGCAGGAATCCTTGTCTCCCTCTTCTGTTTGCTTTTCCTCAGGCTGTGTGGCCAAATACAGGGGTGTCTTTCACAGCGAGATTTGAAGGCCATGATGTTTTTTGAATTATCTATTTATTATTATTATTAATTTTAAATTTTGCTATAAGGCACATGTGCTTGAGAGAGAGAGAAAGTGAAAAAGCAAGCTGCCATGTCTGTGACTTGAACTGTGGTCAACCATGTGGGAACCCTGTGTCTTAATCATACCTGCTGACCCCCGAAGGCCATGAATATTGCCACTAAAATTCATAGACCTGTGTCTGTTACAATCTTAGTAACCTTATGATTAAAATTTTATTATTTTGTATAAATTCTCATTTTGAGCTACTTTAAAAAACTTTTCTAACTAACATTTTCTGTAATCCAATATATCTAAAATATAATCATTTTATAGACTTTTGATATAAAATTTATAATGGAATATTTTATATTCTTTTGTGATTTTTATTGTAGTAAGACACACATAATATAACATTTACCATTTTAAATATTCATTTTACAATCTAATGGCATTAAGTACATTCACATTGTTGTGCATTCATTACCACTATTCATTTCCATATCATTTTTATTATCCTAATCTAACACTATATCCAATAAATAGTAACTCCCCATTCTCCATTCCCCTCACTCCTGGTAACCTGTATCCTACTTTCTGCTTCTATGAATTTACCTATCTAGAACTTTATAGAAGTGGAATTGTACTGTATTTGTCATCTTTGTCTGGCTTATTTTATTTAGCATAATGTTTTCAAAGTTTATCCATGTTTCAATATGGCTCAGAAGTTTATTCCTTTTTAACATTGGATATATTCCACTGTGTGCATGTCAACATCCAACTGCTGTGACACTAACTCTGCTAATCCTTTCCCTAACATCCTGTATGACAAGTGTTAGAAAGCCTTAAAAAAGTCCCAGAGCTCCGATCGGAAACAAATTTCATTCATTAAAAAAAATTCCATTGTGTGCGTACATCACTTTTTGTTTATCTACTCACTTGTTGACAAATAACTTGGGTTGTTTTCACCTGTGGCTACTGTGAATAATGATCTTATGAACATAAGCATACAGATTTGGGATACTTTTCTTTTTTTCTCTTCTAAGGCGAGGCCTCTCTCTGTTGTGGTCTTTCTTTCTCAGCCTCCTTGAATTACTGGTATTATAGGTTCATGAGACCATGCCCAGCCTTTAGGTTGGACCAGGAATCGAACCTGGGGCCCCCATGCAGTCCAAATCTAGTGCATGTCACTGTGACTGGGCTTGGGTCCCTTTTACAAGTTAAAAATTTTAAGACGAAGGGAAGGGGATGGGAGCCTGTAGTAGAATATGAATAAAGGCTTACTTTAAAGTTGGGAGGAAAAGATACACTATTAAACTGCCCATCTGCCTCTGTTCTGAAGCATATAGAAATAGGCTGGAGGATTTGATCTGAGGTATAGTAATGAGCAGAGAGATAGAAGAGGGTTGAAGTTGTGGGGAGAGATATAAGAAAGTTCTACCTCACAAAATAAAGGTCCTGCCCTTGTAATTTGAGGATAGGGCTCAACATCGGAATCCTTTCTATTATAGAGCATAGGTACCTTTTCATTTATTTAAGGAAGTTACCTATTTCTTCCATTTGATTCCCTTCTCTCAGCCCTAGTCTACCCGCCTTAATTAGCTGCATGACTTTGGAGTCCGCTTTACTATCTCTGAACAAGGAATAACAATCGGATGCTCACAGATTCATACGCTCGCAGGGTCTATCTGTGTGACGTCCCTCCTAAAGAAGCAGCCATAGCATTAACGGGACAAAGAAATGTGGTATGATCTGTTGAAGATATTTTATAGTTTTATCAACTGGACTAGGGATAAATGTTCACCTGCTGAAATATTCACTTTGTAAGCTAAATAATGTGATTGAGTGTATAAAAGAAAATGAAATAAAAAAATGAAAAAAAGAAGAAGCACCCATAGTATGGAGTTTCCTTCTCCGTATATCACCCAAATCTCCTATCCAAGATTTGTTCAGTGAAGCTACAGACAGAACAACTGTATCCAGATTTCAGTTGTTCATTGTTGCTCAGCAATACAACGGGGATATCCATCTCAAAATAAGAAGCATCCAGTATCTTACAGTTACATACACGATACCTGTCTGGACCTGTGCATTGATGAGAAAAAGACTGAGGAAAACTCTTACATCTTCAAATCAAAGTGTATAAGATTCTATGAATCAAAGGACAATAGCCATAGCACTTGAAAACATTTAAAATAAAATTTTATTTTATTTTATATTTAAGTTAAAACTCAGACAATAACATGTTCAAACTATTGATGAATACAAGACACACTAAAAAAACCGAAAACACGATAAATGTAAGAGATAAGTGGACATAAACATTCTCTCTTAATTAGAGGTGAAGCAAGCTCTAAGGTCATGAAAGGTGATCATAAAACATGAAGAGTATTCTGGATTTGTTGCCCACCACTAGGGCTGCGTTATTGCTCAGCACAAATACACAGATATCTGTCTTTGCACAGAGCAGAGAGAAAACAGATTTTTACAGGCTGAGTAAACAGATAGCAGATGTTAAACAGGAAGCACTATAACACAGCAGCTAAGTAATTGTATTTAGTTAACAAATTAAATTTCAAATCTTGGCACTGTAACCACAAGCTTGTGACTTAGATAAGGCAGCTTCTAATATAAGCTTCAATTCTCTCATTTTTAATGAGAGGACAAAAATAGTACTTACCTTATAAAATTGTGATGATGACGTAAAGCCTGCAGAAGTCTTATCATAGTGCTGGGAACATGGTAAGCACGCAAGCTGTGCTCATGGATATTATTATTAAGGACTGAGATAAATTCCCATGTAATGCCTAATAAATCAGCAGTGAGGAGTATGGCAAGCTCTGGTCTCCATGAATTGTCAGTTTCATTTTCTTCATTTTAAAATTGTTTACATCAGCTAAACAAGATATCCATAAGTAAATTTAGAAAATGGAATGGAAAGATACTTGTGGGACACAGATAAGGTTTATTATCTGTTGACAAAGATGTATATGGTGGTCTCAACTGGGCTGGACTGAGGTGTATATCATGCTGGGTAAAGTCTCTTCACAATATAAATGATATATAGTGATTTAATGTATGAATAATAACAATAATAAAATATATATAAAAAAGAAAGTAGAAACAAGAATAAATCATTAGAGGAATTTGAGCACATTTCCTTTAAGACATGTGCTGTTTTTCAAATTAGTTTCACTCCTCTATCCTTGTTTCTGTTAACATTATCAGTGTGTTTTGTTTTTATAGTAAGCTCTAAACCATGTAATATTCCACTGATAAGGCTTACTCTATATGATATTCCATGAAGTAGATGACCCATACCTTAGTTCATGATTCCAGCCAGAGACAAACACTAGTGTGCTAGAACTGAAATTAAACTAGTGGGAAACTGCAATTAAACTAGTGTTAAGAATAGTAATATGAAACCAGTAAGGACAAGGAGAAGTAGAGAGGGAGAGGTCACTTGCCTCCTTCAGCTTGAAGGTCCTTGTCACAGCTAACTTTGAACATGGCCAGCACCCGGGCTCTGATCTGTTTGGTCTTGGCACCGTAGATAATGGGGTTGATCACAGGAGGCAGCAGCAGGTAGATATCCCCCATGAGAACATGCACAATGGGGTGGAGGCTGTTTCCAAACCGGTGTACCACTGAGAGGCCAATGAGTGGCACATAGAAGGCCAGAACCACACTAATGTGTGACACACAGGTCCCAAAGGCCTTGGCCCGCTCTGACTTGGAAGGCAGTTGCAGAACTGTTCGTATAATTAGAAAATAGGATAAGAAAATGAACAAGACATCCACACCCATGACCAGTAGAATGGCAGTTAGACCATAGACCACATTGGGCAATGTGTCTGTGTGAGCCAACTTCATCATATCCTGGTGCACACAATAGGAGTGTGAGAGCACATTGGAGTGGCAGAAGGCCAGTCGTTTGATGAGCAGAGGTAATGGGAAAAAGAAGAGGGATCCACGAACCACGGCCACCATGCCAATCTGGGCTGTGATTGTATTGTTGAGCACTGCGGCATGGCGCAGTGGGTGGCAGATGGCCACATAACGGTCAAAGGCCATGGCCAGCAAGATGGTGGATTCAATGGCAGAGAGGGCGTGGATAAAGAACATCTGGGCAACGCAGGCATCAAAGTTAATCTCCCGGGAGTCAAACCAGAAGAGGGCGAGGATCTTGGGCATGGTGGATGTGGACAAGGCCAGGTCAATGGCTGCCAGCATGCAGAGAAAGAGGTACATGGGAGCATGCAGGCTACGTTCTGTCCTGACGATGAAGACCACGATGCAGTTTCCAAACACTGCCACAGCATACATGGAAAGCAGGGGGAAGCCAAACCAGAAATGGGCCTCTTCTAGTCCTGGGATACCGATAAGCACAAAGGTGGCGTGTGTGAAGTTGCAGCTCTCCATAGCTGGAACTGAGGAAGGGGAACTGGAGAGGCTGAAGTCACTCTCCCAGCCTATAAAGACATGGAGCACAATAAGAGAGTCCCCTGAAAACCTGTCTTGGTTCTCACTCCCCTACTGTTTCCTCCTATTCCCACTTAGGCTTTATCATAAACTATGAGGCCTTCTTTAAGGGAGGAATGTGACAGCTCAAATTTATTTATTAATCATTACCCTCAAATTTAAATTTTTAAAATTTTAAAATTTTTAAAAAGGAATTTGAGGAGAGCAATGTTTATCCGAAAATGTAGCCTTTCCTTCAGGTTCCTCCTTATGGCCCATAACTTCATTGTCTTTATACTGGGCAGCTCTTTTCTACAATACTGTTAAAAAATCCTAATGGGAATCCTTTCCAGATAGGCTTGTCTTCCTTCCTTTCTTCCTTCCTTCCTTCCTTCCTTCCTTCCTTCCTTCCTTCCTTCCTTTGTTCTTTCGTTCGTTCGTTTGTTCCTTCCTTCCTTCTTTCATTCTTTCCTTCCTTCTTTTCTTCCTTCCTTCCTTCCTTCCTTCCTTCCTTCCTTCCTTCCTTCCTTCCTTCCTTTCCTCCTCCTCTTTCTCTCTTTGTTTCTTTTACTTACTCATAAATATTTACTTATATGACCTACTATGCACGAGGCTATTTGCTAGCTGTTGACACTACAGAGATTAAAGACACTCCCCTTGCCCTCTAGATGGCTTGCCTAAGTTGGAAGACAGATACAGTATCAATATATTACAATATTGTGGTTAATGCTAGCCTAGGTGTACATTTAATACCTGGGAGAAGGAGGCTGATCACAGAAACTTTTTTGGAATGAATGATCCTTCTGTTCAGTCTTCACACATGAGAAAATTAGATAGAGAAGGGAATAAAAGGTGTTTTAAGGCAATAGGGATAGAAAGTAGTTGTCAAGTCTCAGGATTTTAGGCCCTCACTTCCAAGGTCAGCAAAGTGGAGGAAATACAACAGTAATTAAAAAAAAAAACAACAAAAAACAAACAAACAAACAAACAAACAAAAAACTGAAAAGAAACAAACTAACAAAAACTTAGGAGAAAAGGCCAAAAGCCATTCTCTTAAGGAATAAAGGCAATTCATCTGGGCTCATAAAATCAATGTCCTCCAGTGACTTCAGAGATGAAGTGCTAGCAGGATACTTGGCCCCCAGCAGATCCTAGTTGCTTGGTATGATCTCTGTAAGGAATCTGTCCTCTGCTCCTGGCCAATGAGTAGCTCCATCTCTGATAGCTGCCTTTGGCCACTCCCTGTGCCCCTAAAGAGGGCTTATGTCAAGCCCTGACTTCAGAACAGGTATTGCTGGGGCCAGCAGATGGTGTAGCGGTTACATCAGTGGACTTCCAAATGGCCAGCAGTGGTTTCAGTCCTGGACCCTGTGGCTTGAAACTCATGCCAGACTCGTGTGTATGTGTGCCCAGGATCATGGGAGGAGAGTGGAGAAGAGATTGCAGCACGGCCATCCCCTAGGAGGGGGCGATTTCTCACTGTCTCTGTATCTCTCTCTCTGGCAAGTGCATGTGCCCTAATGCAAAAACTTCTTAAAACAAAAAAGAAAGCAAAAGCAAAAAATGAAAAAAAAAGAAGCATTATTCACTTACGTAATGATATTCCTAGAGTTTTGTCTTTCCTGGAACATGTGCCAAAAGGACGTTAATGTCAGGGTATTAATTTGTTTTTTAGGGATCCCCTCTTTGGCTTTTTGGAGATCCCCATTGTTGCTTTGCCCCAACCTCCTATCCTACCCAAATATCTGGCCTCGGACCTAATCTAGTCTTTCTCTGTGAGGCTGCGTTTCAGTCTTTGATGTTAATTGTCTTTAAGGAGCCCAGGGCTTGACTGTCAGAAGCAGAAGCTCTGACTCTTGGAAATGAACTTTGTAGGTGTCTTCCTTGATAGTATTCAGGTTATCCTGTTATCTCTACCTGCCCCTCAAGGATTCTTCTCACTTCTAACCCGGGTTCTTACTGCAACTGGGAGGTGCTCTTCAACTTGGCTTTAATGGAGAGGATTTAGAGACTAGTGATCTTAAAATATAATATGAAAGATGAGTACTAAGATGTTTGAATTAGATTCACTCTATCTTGGATGAGCAAGGAAGAACTCACCCAGGATTGAAAGGCTACAAAATCTACAACTCTGTCCTCCATTTGCTCTTTTCTACCCTCAGACTTTGTGCAGAGACAAGCTACCTTTCTTGACAAATATAAAACCCCAAATTTAGCCCCCAGCTGCTGTCAGAACAGGAAAAACCCTTTGAGTAACAGATAATTACATCTTTCAGTGAGATAGGAGATAGCTTGGATCTTGACTCTATCTATCTGTGTGTCTTTCCTAGATAGCTTAGAGAGTGGAATTGAAGACATCCAAACAATTCATGCCAAAAAATAAAAGACAGAGCTAAGGAGCCTTCCCTGGAGAAACACCAGGTTACTAGATCCCTGTGGCCAAGAGAAACTGAGCCTAGGGTGAGAAACAGGGCAGGCACAGAGGAATCTCAAGTGAGAACAAGGGCTTACCTCTGCTTTCTCAAGGTCTTCTGCCCATGCTGATGCAGGAAGAGTGACAGACATGGGGCCTCTGTTGACCACAATCAAGTACTTTCTTGACCCCTCTCTTTGCAGAGCACCTTTTCTGCTTTGTTGGCACCTGCCCTTCCTTACTAAAGTCTAAGACATCAGCTCTTTTCCAAGAAGACTTATCTCCCTCCTGTGTTGTCTGGGAGTGACTCCTCACTAGGCTCAATTTTAGCTTGTTTTTTAGGTCCGAATATTGCTTCTGTATTTATTCTCATCTGCTTTCCTGAACCATCAGATAAGGTTCTGAGACATTTCTTTCTAGCACATGAAGAAGTGGATGGAAAACAAAGGCTTTCTCTGCCCTACCATGAAGGAGTTTGTAGGATCTTGAAGTTCCTGTAAGATGGCAGAAACCTCAGGCTGTTGGATCCCAGGATGAGGGTGCACTCACCTGAGAATGGTGCCGTCCTACATAGAGAGAACATTTGGAGCTTGCTTGCTTTCTGCACAGGCCTTATTATAATGCTACTTAGGTGGCCCATGGGAACAGGCTGGGACAGTTTGAATTGAGGCCCCAGGGACTTGGCAGAGGAGCACCATCTCCACATCCTCTAGTGTGTCATTCTACCATCCCTCACTGGGAGGAGCAATCTCAAAGGTCCCAATGCATCTATCCTTACTCCCCTGCCCACTTTCACTGCTATGTCTCCCGACAACCTGTCCTCATTCTGACAAGCAAACCCAACTTTCCACAGTCAGCGATGGGGCTAGCAGCTTTCCTCATTAACCACTCTGCTGGACACACAAGCAAAAGGAGTGCATAGATACAGTCTTGGGGCTCTAGGAATTTCAATTTTCTTTAAAAATCAAGATTGGCACCCTGAAATGTAGCTCCATGATTCAAAGCAGGAGTGTGTACTTTTCTGTATCTTTCTCTAGCTTTTCTTTCAGTTGGCCAAACAGCTTTAGAGGCAGAGAATCCATTTTTTATTGAATCTGGGTTGGAGATAAAGAACTAAGATAGAGAAAGGTTCTTTTTTCTGTTACATAGTTAATTAGTGATAATATCGGTTGAAGAACCAAGTATTATGACTATTTGTTCAGAATCAACAAAAAGTTATCATAAGCCTATACTGTCATAAGCAAAATAAACAAAAGAAATCCCTACCTTCATGAAGTATACATTCTGATGAGGGAGACAGACGATAAATGTAATTAGTATATATGTATTAAATTAGGTATTAGGTAGTCACAAAGAAAAAATAAAGGGAAAAAGTAATTAGATAAATACCTGGGTGGGGAGGCATTGAATTTTAGATGAATTTGCCAGGGAAGTCCTCACATAATGGAAACGTTTGAGGAGAAGCCCGGGGGAATGAAGGATATATCCATGGGAATACCTAGGACTGACCAGTCCAGAAAGAAGGAGTAATAGCTACAAATAAAGTTCCTGAGAGGTATGAATCTGATGGTTAGAATAACGAGAAAACCAGCATGCCTGAGTGAGAGAATAAGCAATAGGAAGTAGAATCAGGGAAGATTGTGCAAACTGAGTCAAGTAGGGCCTTATTGGACTTAAGAACAGTTAAGGACTTTAGGTTAGTCTATAAGTGAGCTGAGATCTATCGGCGAGTTTTAAACAGAAGACAGATGTGATTTGATGCACCTATAAGGACTAGTTTTTGCAGTTTCCCCTCAGGCTTGTTTGCCCCTGTATGTCATTGCCCATTCTGTTCTTCCTTTCATGTTTTCTTTTCCAGGACTTTTTCATGCTTTGAGCATTTAAGACCTAACTTAAGCACTACTTTCTCCAGGAAGTATCCCCAGTAGCTCCAGACCTTCCGATCTCTCCTTTCCAGTGACATGTATGCTGTGCATCAGGGCTGTATCATTATACTTATTCAGCACTTAATCCTGCCCTATGTGCTGGCCTTTCTAAATGTGCCTCACACATAAGCCTACCCTGCTTTTGTCACTGAAATCTCTGAGAACAGGAACAAAATTACTTCCTTATTATCAGTCACCTATACCTGGCAATGGAGTTACTTTATTTATGTCTAATGAGTATATCTTCAATGCTAGTTTTGTGTAGGCACCGAGTTGATTTTAAGGGTTACACAGGTGAGTAAGAGAAAGTTATTGTCCTTGAGGTGCTCATACACACCTCCACAAAAAATATTTAGTTATTAATTTATTTCTTCCATGAGTCACACACACACACACACACACACACACACACACACACACACACATACACACACACAGATCATTCCAACAGGATCATGACACCATGATCCATCTCCAGGCTCAGCCAGCCCTGGATCATAGGCATATATCTTCCTGGCATAGATAGATTTCTGGACATGAGCCGGGAACCTTCCCTGTGGGTTGACCTCACAGAGTATTGTCTTTTACTACTGTACATCTATCTGGTTCTCTCGTACAATCTTGAAATCACGTGGAAGAACACTGAATGCCAGCCATTTTTAAAGAG